AGCAATCTGCATAACTGGTCCGAATATCTCTTCTCTGGAGATCCTCATATGGTCTTTCACGTTTCCGAACACCGTCGGCTGGACAAAGTACCTAACAAGAGTTCACAGCGCATCAATGACGACCTGTTTAGATCGCCTCATCAGGCTCTCGACAACTGCGTTGTCCTAATACCTACCCCTTGTCTCCCAAACGCTTCCCACCGCAAAGGAGATCGGCACCCTCGTCGATGCCGGACTTGATATACGACATTACTCTCTCAAACTGAATCTTGTCAACCTAGAAATGGGTAGAGTGAGCAACTCAGTGGCATATTGTTGAACGTCACCTGAGGCCCCTGATCGCAGGTAAGGTCACGAGGATCCCCAACTTTCTTATTCTTAGCGCGCTCAACAGCCTTCTTCACGAACTCATCATAGACACCACGCTGTACGTAGATACCTGAACACCATGGTCACAATACAGAGAAGTCAAAACCTGATGTTGGCTTCTTACGGCTAGCGGCACAGCAGCATTGACCGTGATTGAGGAACAGACCGATATCAGATACCGCTAGAGCCTGGTCGAGATCGGCATCATTGCATACGATTAGAGGGGACTTCCCGCCCAGTTCGAGGGTAACCTAAGAGGAGTTGAGTCGCCGTGGCGGTAACAGGATAGGCACCTTCTTGAGATTTGACTCGGCACTAGCCTTGACGATCTTAGGGCCTGTCACACTGCTACCGGTGAATGCCACTTTGTCAACATCCATATGGCGTGCTAGGATCTCGCCTACCATTATCAATTATAGACAACAAACATGATCAACCGTGGAGTTTACCAACATCAGGGCCGCCATTGACAATGTTGACTACTCCAGGAGGGAATCCAGCCTCCTTGATAAGCTGTCCGAAGAGGAGCCCGGTAAGAGGTGTCTTCTCAGATAACTTCATCACGACCGTACCTACAACACCGACGTCGCATCATTGATCAACAGCAGGCATGGTGTAGACCTACATCCAGCTGCAAGGGCTGGAGCCAGCTTCCATGCTTGCATGAGCAAAGGGAAGTTCCAGGGAATGATCTGCCCAACTACCCCAATGGGTTCCTTAACGGTGAGACAGATGTTGTGGCCGTCAACCGGTACGACATTCCCGAGCACTTTGTCAGCCCAGCCGGCATAATACTTGTATATCTTCTTACACAGGTTAATATCAGCTGCCTTGGCCACCGTAATTGGTTTCCCGTTGTCCAGACTCTCAAGTTCAGCGAGACGGTCCTCATGGAGTTCGATCATGTCAGCAAGCCTATAAAGGCAGTCTCTGCGGAAAGAGCCATCAGAGTCTTTCCAAGTCTCGAACGCTTTCCTCGCTGCCTTCACCGCGATGTCAATATCCTCCGGACCGGCAATTTCGACCTTCTCGATAGGCTCCCCATCTACTGGATTGATGGACGTCAGCGTTTTACCAGACTTGGCCGAGACGAACTCATTGTTGATGAAGAGCTTTGTCTGGATCGGGAGGCTCTTGCTTGGGGGTGTTAGGCCGTTGGCGGTCATGGTAAGATTGGATCCACTATGAGAGGCAAGTAATGCGCAATCAGCACGCATGCGCTCAAACGTGCTGCTGGCCACCCCCAACGAGTGACGCGCCAG